GCCATAGACTTTGCATGTAAACTGGCAGCTCCTGCCGCTCAAAACGCTCTCGGTGTGAACGAGCCAGAAGAGTTTGTTGAATCTGACGTGGCATGTTCGTACGAACCCTTTGTACGAACAATAGTAAGAGAAATTTAGGATAAGAATACGAACATGTTCTTGCATGAGGCCCATTGATACTAAAGTTACTGGATAGGTATCTTAGTTTGTTTTACTTCCAGCATGTTGCTTTGTTCCAAAAATACATGCTGTACTGGAGCAGCCAATTAGAGGCTGGTATAATTTCAGAGTTGACATGCTAACATGTAGACAGTGGTGGGCACCAGTCCGCTAACACCCAAATCTGCTAATTGCAGACCTAACCATTTTGTTTGCACTTTAGCAGTCTTAACAATTTTTRTAATTCATAAGTGGATTTGCGCTATTTAAATTTAAATTGCAGTTCCGCTAATAACTAATTATTTACTGGTCATCATTATCTTGAACAGTGGAGGGTATGGCTGTCAGGACTCACWACGCATGTGATCCATCCAACAGCTCCCCTCCCAGCTAAACACTATATTTTGGGAAGGTACACCTCCTTCCTGACTGTCGCTTTGGGTCACGGTTCAGTCAGTTCTCACTTTAGTAGGTCAGCTTTGCAAAGTATTTTTGCTGGCAGCAATCTAAATTACTCATTTGGCTTCTGTTAAATTATAATAAACACAGTGCAAAAGACAATATTTGGTAGCCAGCAGGGATCCACATTTTACGGACATTTCCCACAATGCCTTGTGTCTGCTTACATAGGCCTGTCACGATAACAAATTTTGCTGGGCGATTAATTGTCTCAGAAATTATTGTGATAAGCGATAATATTGCCTGGTGACCATTTTACAACTAATAATTATAAAAGCGTAATATGTAAGTGTAATTAATCAATAAACTTTAATTTTTAAAGAATGTTTAACAAAGTGGACTCTTAGTCTCAAACAAAAAATGCACTTGAATAAAAAAAACAAAGAACAACAAAATGTAAATTAAACACCACACACACAACTAAGACAGTAAATAAACAATATTAAAGARCAGCATCTCTTTAGAGATGAAGCAAACTACACAGCCTGGTGAGGACCCACTGTTTCTTATGGGGGCATAAGCCCAGTTCACATCCCTTGTAAAGTGTAGGCTAGGTTTAGGGTCAAATGGTAATAGAAAATACTGGTAAATGAATGAAAGTCAATGCAAAGTCCCCATGAGGATAGAAGAACAAACGTGTCTATGTGTGTGTGTGAGGAGGGGACAGTCAGTGA